CCCCGCCAAGCCCTCCCTTCAGATGGCGCCCACCTCCACCCGGGGCGAACTCACGTAGACTGCGTAGATGTCGGATTTGTCATAGAAGCGAAGCCTTCCGCTCAGCTCCAGGGCGGGGGAGACGCGGTCGTCGCCGGCCTCCAGCTCCTGGTCCCCCTGCCCAGGGCCGAAAGGGAAGAGCTCCTGGCGGCTCAGGCAGTGTCCGGGCCCCGCCACCAGCAGCTGCAGCAGCAGCGCCCGAGTCCACACAGCCCAGATCCTGCTGCTCGCGGTCAACATGTTCCCTAACTGATGTCGGGCAAATCCAGCGACTGGGCGGCCAGGAGGCAGAGGAAGGGCGGAGATGTAACCGGAGGCCCCTTCGCAGCCTCTCCACGCCTCCCTGGCGCCCGAACGTTTCCACCCCGGGAAATAGAGGAAGGGACCAAGGGGAGATAGAGGAGGGTGGGCCCCGCCCCATCTCGAGGGCAAGGCGCGGAGGCGGCCCAATGGCTGCGAGGGGCAGGGCGAGGGGCGATACCGAGTTCCCCAGCTGTGGCAACAGTGCCCTAGCACCCCGCGGGGAATTGAGCGCTCTTTTCCTTGATTCCTAAAAGTAACTCGTCTCCCACTAAGAGGCCCCTCCGGGAGGTGAGAACAGCATTGTCTTTTGATCAGAGCTAAACTGAAAAACAGGCGACGTGGAAAAAATGCCCTGGATTTTTAAACCGTCCACCCTAATGCCGCTTGGCGGCGTTGGGAGGCCCGACTCGCGTCTCTCTGGTAGGAGAAGGGGTGGGTGTTGGGAGTTAGCAAGAAAGGCCTGGGCCAGTGGCATGGTCATTTACTCTTGCACCCATTCATTCAGCATTAGATAGTGTGGAGTTTCCACCAGAAATAGGGCAGCACCCACTGAGACATTTTGAAGGCAAGACAAAGTAACAAGTGTATAACACACAATTCAGTGTTACATTAGCTGGAGTCCCTAACTAATGAAGTACATCAAGACTAGAATAACTGGCTAAGGAAAGCTGCATGTGAAGGGGTGGAATTTCAACAGGCAGCAGGGAAGATAGGAGCTGAGCCCTGAGCAGGGAGTATTCAAGTTGAGAATTTGCAGAGGGAGTGGTCCAAGTAAAGCTTTGAATGCCATGCATAGGAATTTGGACTCTCTCCATAGTCGGAATAACTATGGAAAGTTCTAACAAAGGGAGATAGGCTATTTAAAGAGGTATGGTAGGTACCAGGTTGATCATTAATTTGGCACTGGGTTGAATGTAAACACAGGAAGGTCATCAGGGGACTATTCAAAGGGAGAACAACCAGATTTAGAAAGGTAGAAGTGGTATTTGAAAGAAAATGCATCTAAGAGGTATTACAATGAAAGAAAGAACAAAACCTGATTATAAATTTGGTATTAAGGAGGAGAAAAGAAGCTAAACTTGGGTGCAAGGTTTCCAGCCTTGAGCTGTGTTGCCTTTTGAGGGAAGCTGGGAGAGGACCTTGGGAGCATGAGTTGGGGTATGTGTTTGGTGTCAGAACCTGTTAACTCTGAGGGATCAATAGAGAGTCCCTGTTTTGTTGACAACTAAAAGTAAGCCCTGTTGTTGTTGTTGCTGTTAGGTGCCATTGTGTCAGCTCCAACTTAAAGCTAACCTAGCTTAGTTTGGAATAATTCTCTCAGATAAAAGAACATTCTATACAATATTTAGGGAGTCAGAGTTCTAGATGAACAGAAAATATGATGAAAAAGCAAATAAAACACACCTTTTAAGTAGAAAGTCTTTGGTCCACTTGGGATATCTTTTTCTTTTAAATTCATTTGTTATCAGAGAGAAATTTATCAAGTGCCATGGTAATTATTACAGGTAGTAATTTGCTTCTTGGTCACAATAACTCTAGAAGACAGGGGCTATTATCTTTCCTATATTTTAAATGGCACAAATAGAGACCCAGGGTGGTTTCATCACTTTGCTAAGGTCACAACACAGCTAATCTACATATGACCCAAAGTGGTTCAGTTCCAGAGCCCCACTTTTTTTGAAAGTAATATTTTATTGTGTTTTGGTGTAGGTTTACACTTAAGTTTAGTTTCCCATTCAATATTTTTTACACAGATTGCTCAGTGACATTGATTACATTCTTCACAGTGTGTGAACATTCTCATTATTTCCATTCTGGTTGTTCTTTTTCCATTAAGCTAGTTCCCCTGTCCCTTCACATTCCAATTTTTGTTTTAGAGTAATTGTTGACTGTTTGGTCTCATATGGATGAGTTTTTACAGGAGAGCACAGTACACATGGGTGATATTCATTATTTATTTTGTGAGCCAATATGTTATTTAACTACAAAATTACCTCAGGGATTAGTCTCAGTTCAAGATTTGAAGACTACTCCAGGGCAATAGTCTCAGAGAGTTCTACAGTTGCAAACAGTAGGTCTATTTTTTGTTTTGTTTTTAGGAATTTGAGTTTCTGTTCCACATTTTTCTCCCATTCTATCAGGGTCATCTACTGTGGCCCTGACTAGAAAGGGTTGTAGTGTTAACCTTGTACCATTAAGTTCACTCTTAACTACTACATTAAGTGGACTCTTTATTGCTACATTTTTTTCATCTTGTAAAAGAGCGATTAATGCTATGGGGTTTTGTTTGTTTGTTTGTTTGTTTTGCTTGTCTGGTTTAGTTTGTTTTTAAAACAGTCTGTGCCTGAAGCAGATGGCTTTTCCTTCAGCTCTTTCCTGGAATAGCAAAGTTATAGCAAAGTGTCCTCCTACCCCTCCCAAAAAGTTCTTCCCGACTCTGCCTCATGGTCTCTCTAGATTCAATTCCTACATCATCCATTGCTGGGCTTCTGGACCTCAACACTGCCTTTCAGCTGATGAGAGTTCCACATCGAAGCTCTTGGCCTCCCTGTCCCATAATCCAGAGTGTATTAGGGAGAACCCAAACTCAAGTTCACCATGTCTTTCTCTGCCTATACTTCAGACCCTTCTGACTCAGAATCCTCTCTTCTTTTCTCTGTCACACATCACAGTTGTCTTTGAAGCTGTTGATTAGCCCAGAATGCTCACTCCTTTCACTATTTTTCTCCCTTTTTGGTACTCAAACATCTTCTGAAACTCCTATTGGGCCATGGAAATTTCCTCAGCTAATACAAGAGCAAGTGGGAATGAGAATCATTCTCCACTTTGCTGGTTGAGTGTGTTTCCTGGTGCTTGACAGGCTGGCAGAGGCCTGGACTCCACTATCCATTCATTAACCCTATAAGCTCAAGCAGGTTTCTAAGCCTTGCTATCATCATTTGTACAGAATGCACATACCTACAATCAAAGGACTATTGTAAGGATTAAATAAGGTGATGTGATAGTTGGAGCTGTGTGTCAACTTGGCTGGACCCCAGTTCTGTGTGGTTGTTCCCATGATGGGATCAGATGACTGTGTTCTGAGTGGCCAATCTGCCCAAGGGGAGTTTCGCTAGGGGTGTGGCCTGCTTCCAGGATATCCAGGGACATCCTGGGAAGAGAGACATTCTTGGAGGAATTGGGACCCTGGTGTGCTGACTACAACCTTCCGTGAGTGAACAGCCTGGAGATCTTGGATTCATCTTTCATTGGAGTCAACAACCAGTGTACTGCCTGCCAGCCTTGAATTTCTTGGTCCCCTGTGCTTGCAGAAGCTAAGGCTGCCGCCAGCCCGATGTTTCCTCCAGGGACTTTGGACTTGCCGGCTTCTAAACGTTTGTGAGCCATTTTCCTAAGATAAATTTTTTTTTTTCTCTCTCTCTCTATACATATATACGCTTTGCTGGTTTTTGTGTTTCTTTAGAGAACCCAATCTAACACAGGTGATACACGAAATGCTCTTAGCAGAGAGACTGGCACAAAGTAAGTACTTAGATTATATTAAGTCAACATGATTATCTAAATGTAGTTTTCATGATTCTTATTATTTCAACATCTATTAGGAATCTACATGAGCCAGACACTGTACTCCAGGCCCTTGAAATACCAACACCATTAAGACAGAATCCCTTTTGTGAGAAGCTTTACAATCTACTGGGGGAGACAGACACAGAAGCAATATCCCAGTGTGATGCTTTGATGGATACAAAAAGACCAACACCACTTGTTGAATGTCTACTTCTGCTACATGCTTTATATAGAATCAAATTTAATACTAATAACAATTGCACAAGCTGATAGCTCATAGTATATATGGGGAAAATGAGGGATGCAGAGGTATTCCCTGTTTCCACAGTAAGTAGAAGAGCTGGGATTTGAACCCCTAGTTAGTCTGCAAAGGAGCTCTGGTAGCACAGTGCCTAAGGCATCTGACTGGTAGCCAGAAGGTTGGTGGTTCAACCACCAGCCGCTCCATGGTAGCAAGACTGACCAATCTATCTCTTTAAAGATTTATTGCCTCAGAAGATCAATGGGGGTTGCTATGAGTCTGAATCAACTCAATGGCAGTGGGTTTGGTTTTTGGGTTTAGTTGGTCTCCAAACACAGCTTGTATTTTTTCACCACACCATCCTGCCTTTCTATGAAAGGAGTGGCCTCTCCGTTAATTTCCCCCCACCTCCACAAGATATATTTGCTTCTCTGTTTATACATAATGTTCATGTTCTATTTATGTATGCTTATGCATGGAATACATCAATATCATCTTGCTAAAAGAAGTCTAGTAAAGTATCCACCATTTACTATTTATAGCCCTGCACTCATTACACATTGTGTGGTACTCAGTGAATGTGTTATTGATGCTGCTTCTCCTACTAGGACAATATGGGCTGGGTTTCTGCCACTCCTTTAGAATTTATAGCTTCAAATACATCTTGTGTGTACTCCAAATCTTCGATAGAGAATATATAATTTCATATTGCTCTCTGGTCATTTTCTAAGTGAATATAATATTTTTTTAAAGTATTTCTCTAGTTGTTTCATGTGTTTTTTTTCCAGATACAAACTATTTGGGGATCATGTGTTCTATTTTTTTCCAAAATTCTCAAAGGATAGCTGCAGTGTTGTAAATTACCTGGTATGGCTTTTCTAGTCATAAGTCTTTGTAAACTCCGTGGTGGAATTGGTCATGAGCAACCAAGTAGCTCCTGGTTGTTAGTTATCCACCTGGGGTATTTTTGCTGGGAGCAGCACAAAGTAATTTTCTGGGAAGTTTGCTCTCTCTCAGGTGTATGGAATTCTGATGTTGGAATTGGTTAGTTTGGCCACTCTGCCAGGCTCAAAAGGAGGCCTCCTAGAGGCAGAAGGAGTCTCTCTGACTGCTGGCTGAGAAAGATGTG